GATACTCTTAAGTGAAATAAATAGGACACACATATATAAATACCAAATAGTTTCTCTAGTGTGAGAAACTGAAAGTGTAAATAAGGACTAATTCGTATAATAGATAATGTGAAATAGGAAGAAAAGGGGCAAAGGGTAAAGGGAAGTTGGAGTAGTAGGGGAAAGGAAAGAAAGGAATGAAATTAATATGAGTAAATGAAAAAAATGGAAACAAAGTCTTTGTAAATAGGTAGGGATGGAGGGGTTGAAGGGAGGGCAGGGGAAAGGGAAAAATAAAAACCAAGAGAGATTATGTAAAGTTGCAAATTTCCAATGATGAATGTCATTATAGTGTATACCTAAATTGTACCTATAAAGTAAAATTATTTTTAAAAAATTTCAGAAATAACTATCATCAGAGGTCCAAATTTTCTTTGCCATAACTTAGAGAAATTTTATTTATTTTGTATTATTTAAACTTTTTCTGCAGTACTTCGGATTGAACCCAGAGTCCTGAACTGAATTATATCCCCATATGTTTTTAATTTTTTTTTTTTTAATTTTGAGACAGAGCCTAAGTTGCTCAGGCTGGGTGTGGAGTTCTGAAACTCCTGTCTCAGCTTTCCAGAGTACTGGGATTACAGGTGCCACTATGCCCAACTAGATTTTGTTATTTAATAGCTTATTTTATATTACAACAAAGCATAACTACTAAGTCTTTTATCTTAAAAAGCCTGATTATATTCAACAACCTAAGTAATACTTTTCAAATATGCTAGTTGGTATTTTGTTGCTCCCTGAATAAATATTATTGATTCAATGTGTAGAGAGAACCAGATAATGTATGATTAAGATAAAGAAAGATAAATACTTTGTCTAAGTTTCTAAAATCTTACCTTCAATGTATTATCTATAAAATATAAATTTTTTAGACTGAAAACAAAAGGCAAAATAGCAAAGGGATCAAGAGATGAGTGGATGGGGAAGGATGGAAGGGAAAGAGGATGAAAAAGAACTGAGATGTGCATGTACATGTTCCATCTTCCCATTATATACTATACACATGTACTGACAAAATAAAATTAAAATTAAATGAGTAAATAATGAGATAAAAATCCTTGGATTTACCTCTTTCTCTTCTAGGAAACAATTAAGAAAAATAGACAGAGCACATTCTCTGTCTTTGATAAAATTAAAAGTCACATTACTATGAAAAAGTGGATTCCCAAATGCTACAGCAATTAAATAGAAGTTTAAATAGAAATTAATCGGACTCCAGGGAAGTTTTGCAGAACACTGTAGAACAAATAGGACAACATACCCTAGAAGTAAAGAACAACTACTCACCCTGAATCATGGAAACAGGGTGTGCCCATTGGCCAGAGCTCCCCTGGATTTAGTTGCAGTTCCAGAAGGAATAAAGGATCTGCCAAAGGCAAAAGAATAAGACATAGCGATGTTCGGGAAACAAATGAAGGCAAGTGTAACAGGGAGCTAAGCAGTGCTGCAGTTGTCAATCACTAGCTCAGGAAGAAATCAACTCACTCCCTCACATCAGCTTGTGCTAAAATGAACTTCACCCAAACCGTGGAAAGTTCTTTTTTACTTGGAACATGACTCAACTTTTCTCTAACTCCACTTTCAAAGATGTATAATGATAATAAGATAAGTTCTATAGAACCATATTATAAAGAGGAGAAAAGAAAATAACCTTCTTTGGAGAAAATCACCAGAAAAATCCAGAGAGTGGGCAGATAAAATTTGTTACCAGCCATCTCACCATAAATTAAAGGAAATTATTGGAGTAATAATTGTGTCAATAAAACCTCAAAGCAAAAAAAATGGCTCTGAGGTTTATGAAGCAAAACCTCTTGGGGAACAAAATGGTGCAAAACAATAAAAAGAGATAAAATGGGAGTATAGGGGGAGGAAAATAAATCACTGAAGAAATGGAATGTGCATGAATTTTACATTGCATCTTTCCCTAGCACTAACAATATTAAAATCACAGTTTTCCAGACTGCATGCCCACTACATGTGATTTCTTGCACCATATCCTGGACCTCCTATGAAGTTCTTTTGTCTTAAAAGTCCCACTTAAAGTTGTCAGTATTTTTTTCACCCAGTCCATGAGCCAGAAGAGCACTGCCACATGTGTGACATGTTTTTAGAGCCCTAAAAGATCTACCTTTTTGCAATAGAAGATTTGAGACGTAGCAATTTGTTTTTATTTAGGAGGATATATCTTGGAGCACATCTGACCTCTGCACTTCTAAATGCTTTGCTTAAATTCCACAATCTCCACAGGTTTTGTCTCTTGCTGTTTAGAGTGTGTCTTTGCAAATTGTTCGGCATGGTGTTGGCACTTGCTTATATTGCCCAGTCAATACTAGCTCCTGGGTCAAAGTGATGTTCTATAAAATGATTAAATCTCTATGATTTGATATTTTTTGATGACAAAGACTAGAAGAGTTCATATAGTCCTGGAATAAAATTATGAGTGATTATTACTGGCCATTGCATTTAAATGCAAACTCTTTATGCTCCTCCTTTTCCAATGGGATGCATTAGAGCAAAATAACCATTGATTTCATGGGCACATACAGTGGATTAGGTAGTAAGGGCCACTGATACTATACAGGCTAGAAGTCAAAGATAAGGTACTTACAAATTTAGTTTCTTCAGTGGCCTCTCTCCTTAGTCAGTGGATAGCTACCTTCTTCCTATACCTTCACAGATTTTTCCTCTGTTTGCAACTCTGAATCCAAATCTCCTCTCCTTATGAGGACCCCAGTGATCCTAAATTAATGCTCTCCCATATGGCCTCATTTTATCTTAATTACTTGTAAAATCCCTAAATTTATTCACATTCTGAGATACTAGGAGTTGGGACTTCAACATAAGAAGGGGGGGCATAATTCAGCCTATACTACCATGTATCAGGATTTATGTTATTCTCTGGTAATAAAAATACCAAGTCTGGCATGCACTGTGATCATAAGTACTATGTAGCTCAGGTTGCTCTGGTCTAAAATCATCCGCAAGAGTTCGTCTAGTCTTTATAAGGGATGTAATGGAGTCAGGGTCCACCATCATATTATCTTGGCTGGAGCAGGAATATAATTTCAGAAGTTCCAATTTCCTCTTTCCCCCCTCTTACCTTTCATCCCACAAGCCAAGGACTTTATGTGCTAATCCATCTTCCAATACATTACTCCAGATTCAGCCACTGCAGAAATGAAAACTGGATGTGTCAGTGGACCCAGTGGGATCACTGTAAGCCAAACTTTGACCAGGACTCCATTTATTACTGCAACTTCTGTGCCCTCCTCTGATAGTGGGGCCCTGATGATGCTCCACGTCTCCAGATATTAATGTCAACTTCTATCCTAGGACCAGTAGTCATTGAATTGTCCCTTTTTCCCACTATACAGTATTCTAAGTAAATGGTTATGGTGGCTAAGTTGAACTAAAATAGATAAATATTCAGGGAGAATTATGTATACTAAGTAATATGAAACATCTAGCTCCACCACAGTGAAAACAGAGTAATAAAAAATTATTAGTGAATAAAGAATAGAAGATTATTTACAAAGAAACAGAGATTAAGTTGATAATAGAGCTCTTGACAGGAACAGTGACGTAGGTACAATTCAGTCTTGTAATAAAAGAACTATCAATTTATTTTTAATCTACTCTGACTCTAGATTTAAAAAGGATAAGTAGTATTATCAATACATCTACAAGAAAGGAAATATTAAATGATATTTCAATAAGAGTAGAAGTAATCCAGGAAACAATGAAGAGTCAGAAAGAAAGACTGAGCAAAGAAATTAGAAAGAATAGGGAAAATGCAAGCAAACTTGTCTACCTTAGGCAAAAGAAATAATTTAATTTAATACAATATGACTAGTGTCCTAAACACTATGTGATTCTAAAAGCAAAGCTAAAATATTAGGTAACATAAAAGTTGAGAGTGTGGTAATTAGAGTTTAAAGAGATTCCAAGTGGATTTTAAATAAAGTCTGTAATCTGTCTTTCCAGGCCATGTAAATATAAGATTTTTAAAAATGGGGTTTAATAATGTAATATAGCTGTTTAACATATTTACTTAATATTATGTATTACAAAGAGGACAAGTCTTCATTCTAAGTAACCAGAAAAGAAAACCATCATAGAGTCAAAAACATACTTCCCATAACGTCTTCCTATCACAATACAAGAAATATTTACAATGTCTAAAACTTCAAATTAATAGCAAGATTTTTTTTTACAGAAAATTTTCTCTGAATAACTATTGGAATAAAAGAGGAATAAAAGATGAAGACACAAGACAGTACAGATGAAGTAAACTGCGGAGTTGCTTGTGACACCCAACAGGTCAAGGTCTGCTCCAGTTAACTTGGGAGACTGGAGACCACTAATTCAGAGGAGCCAGAATGTCTTGAAGACAAGATGTTTTGCCAACTCCTGCAGAGATGGACTGCATGGGAAAAACAAAGACGCTCCCAGGGAACAATCAGATAAAAGTTAATTATTCAGCCAAGCCATCCAGCCATGCCTTGCTTGACTGCCTTTCTACCTAAAACAAACATCTGCACTCAGCAGAACTCTATGCCTTTGTTGTTCCTCAATACATCTGGGGATTTGAGTCTGTTTGGGGCTTCATTCCAGTCTAGTGAAGACCCCTGGCCCCCCAACAAAGATATTCTCTGTCTCTTGACTCTGTGTTTGTTTCTCTAACTGGCCTGAACCTGACAGCAAGCTATTCATATTATACCTGTAGCTTTTCTCCTATTTTTGTACTTTCTGTGAGTTAATTGGTATGCTATATTTTATTTAAAAATATTTGTTGCATCTTTTCCCCATTACCTGTGGGCCCTTCACCCCTCCACCCTTCTTTATTTACATAGACTTCATTTCCATTTTTTTTTTCTTTTCTCATAATTTTTCCTTTCCCTTCTTTCCTTTCCCCATCTCCTCCCATCACCTGTACCCCTTTGGACCTTTTCCTATTTCAAAGTATCAATTATTAGTTATTAATCCTTTTAATCCTTATTTACACTCTCAGTTTCTCTCATGTACAGGTACAAGCACCCAATGATAAATTTAAATGTATGGTATACCTAAATTGTACCAATAAAAGAATTTAAGCAAAAAAAAATATTTGTTACAATATAATTGATACATCACAAAACGTAGCAACTTTTACAGTTGAGTAATTATTTTGACCCTTTTAAATTTTTATTTTTATTAGTATATGTGTTTACAGGAGATGATGATTACATTTATCCTGGGGAACTGGTGTATGTATATAACACATATTAATTTGGTTTTCATCCACTGCCCCTCTCCATTCCCTTCCTTCCATCTTTGGTCTCCTTTCCTTTTGTAAAAGAGCTATCTTCCACTTTCAATAGTTTTAGTATATTTACAAACTTGTGAAATTACAACTGCAAGCTAAGTTCAGAATGTTTTAATCATCCAAAAAAGAAACTGCATGCTCATTATCAGTGATTTTCCATTTCCTCTCACCAAACCCTAGCCAGCTAGTAATCACCATTCTACAAATATAGATTTACTTTTCCAGCAATCTCATATGTGGTACATTTCATAAATGGAGTCATACAGCATGTAGTGGAAAGATTTATTCTAATACTTTGACTATTCCAACAGTATTTGATGCCTAGAATTATATATTCTAGGATAATTGATACTTTATTACTATATAATTCTCTTCATTATCCCTAAAGTTTTGCTTTTTTTCTGAAATTAATATAGAGGATGTCTTATGTACTAAGAGCTAAGGTAGGTCGGAAAAAGACAAAAAGTATTAGCATTTCTGTGGGTTGTCTTCGAGTGGGAGTTATGTGAATAGAAGTGTGGATGAAAACCAAAAATGATGTGTCATAATACCACAGGGAAAATGGCCAATTTTTCCCTTCCATCATATATGACATTTGTGTCATTAATTCAACTTAACATTTTATCACTATTAGCAGCTAAAATATTTATTTTTTTGATCAATTAAGATTATGATAAATAAAGTTTTAATATTAGTATTTTACATCTTTTCTCCAATGCTCTTTCTTTAGGTAGATCTGAATCTCTGATCTATATAAAGGGGTGGTTGAAAGATATGGTGAATATTTAAATTAAAGAAAAAAAATTATTATAGTAAAAGACACATTGCCCTGAATAATGTGGATAAGTGTTTTCAAAGTGAGTAGGAGCATTTTGAATATTTTGAAGGGGATTAATGGCAATTTTTTTATTGCAATAAATTTAAAAAATTTAAACTGTCACTTTAGTTTTTGGTATTACTTCACTGAGCAAACATTTACCATAATTTTTGTCAAATACAAACATTACAATGTGTACTCATCCATCTTATTCACTGCATCTGGCCCCGAGAGACTTCTGGGTCTTCTCTAGAGTCAAAGTGTTGAAAGGTAAATGTTTTGAATCAATTCAGGACAC